GTCACCAATTCAGTCGGTTTGGCAACAGCCGTCTTAGCTGTAAAATTCTACTGGTGGATTGATCCCTCTGGCGCTATAGTAGTAAGTAGAACATTCTCGAAATAAATGTCTCATGTCTTCTGTGATATATAAGAGATTCAAGTGTATGATTGAGGAAACTATTATTCTATATGGTATCAGATTGCTCTGTACACAATCAGCACATGGGCAAGAACGGTTCTAGAGAATGTCCATTCACTAATAGGACGCTCAGCGCCACCGGATTTCTTGGCGAAGCTAACGTTCTTGATATGGAACCATCACGAGAAGATTAAACACATCGACACAGTGAGAGCTTACACGTTTGGGTCACACTACTTTGTGGAAGTTGACATTGTTTTACCAGAGGACATGATGCTACACGAAGCTCATAACATAGGAGAGACTCTTCAGGAAAAGCTGGAGCAACTCGCTGAGGTTGAGAGAGCTTTTGTCCATATTGACTTTGAGTTCACTCATCGGCCAGAACACAAGTGCAAGGTTTGAAATATCACAGTAATGTTTTATTTAATGGATCGAGAGGAAATAAATTAAGCAGGTGGTCTCTGTTTATGTGGATTCTTCTTGTTCATTATATTTAGCATCCCACAAAGATTGAAAAAACTCAAATCCCCAATAGGTGCCAGTGTCACTTTCAAAAACGATTTGGTCCCTTTTTATCCGGTGAAAGAGAAAACTAAAAAGAAAGCGACAAAAGTTACAATGGAAGAAGATAGATATTTGGTTTTGTTACAAAAGGCCTAATTATGGCTCATTAACGTATACTTTAAATAATATGGGCCCAAAGAAGAATGCATGTGATTATATCAAAGGCCCATTCGACGGATAACTAAGCCGGCTTTGAAAATATCAGAGGCCCATTTAGGTGATCTGGCCTGTGTCTGCAAAAGAGAGGCTATTTAGGGTTTCTTGTAACCTAGAGTCGTCGCTATATAAGCCGCCTTTTCCTCCATTTCAATCAACAGACAAAGAGCTCTTCCCCCATGTTTTGTTTCACTGTTAGTTGTCTTCTGGTTTCTCGTATAGATTCTTCTAGTTTCTTATGTTTTTTTTAAGGCTTAGGAGTAGTTAGGGATCGTCGTAGCCTGTGATGTTTGAGATTGTCCGTACCATCTGAGATGATTAATTTTGTCCTTGACGATAACCTCCACTTTCTGAGGCTTTAGATCTGTTTCTCTTTTACATTGTTGTTTGGAATTTGATTTCGTTAGCTATTCAATCGTTTTTAGTAGGCGCTGATGATGAAACAAGATTACCATCAAACTTTGAGAGATTCACAGCTCGTTGATGCAAACTTCTTTTTATAATCTGAGCCTAACTTTCGTTTTTAGATCTGCCTCTGTTTTTGCATAAGGCAACAAATTAGAGTCTCTGATTCACTCAATTCAATAGTGGATAAAGCGCTGTACGTTGCCGAAATTGACATGGCGATATTCTGGTACTTGGTCTAGTTTTTTGATAGATCTCTGTGCATTCAAAAGCCATTACATGATTCACGCAGATCTTAGATTACAATTTCTGGCATGTTGTTTTGGTCCGTAGTAGCATATGAAGGCAACAAATTAGAGTCTCTGATTCACTTAATCAATAGTGGATAAAGCGCTGTACGTTGCCGATAATTACTTGGCTCAAAGATCAAATTAATTGGCCTTCACTTATACGTTTGCCAATATGATCAATGTCCCTATATTGTTGCTCGACTAATGCATTCTCAACTCATTTACATTTATATCTATTCTATTAAAGATGTTATTATATTTGCCCGAATAGGTGAATATAAGTCTCAAATAATACTGTTGAATCAAAGTCATTATTTTGCACAATAGGCTACCCAAAATTTGCTGCGTCTTGTTTAATGAATTCGTAGTTTTTCCATTCAAACAAAAACGGTTTGATGCAGAAATAAAATCCTAACGCACTTGATATTCTAGACTATACAAAATTACCATTTCAACGAGACCAAATCGTCCTACATTGCTAAAGATTTGAGACGCAGTGATATTTTAATTTTGCAATACTGAAAATATCAGTTAACATGAGATAATTTTTTATAAACCATCAAATAGAAAGAATGGAAAAGAGTATGAGATACTAGATAGTTTATTTTCCAAATTTATTATTATTTTAATGTATAAGTTTTCCCTTTAAACTGATTTAAAGGGAAACAGTGATTAAATAAAATCAGTAATTTTCTTTTTCTTTTTTGGGTGGCTTTATCCGCCATCATAATTTAATTTCGTTTATCATATTAGAAATATAACTTAGGTGATTGATCTATACAAAAGAAAAAAATAAGAAAAATATTAGAAGTCAATAAAAAGAAAAAGGAAAAAAAAAGAAAAAAAAGCGACGCAAAGTTTTTAGGGTTTGTTAGCAAACTAGTACGTTTTTGAAACATAATTATAAAGGTAGTACATTTACTATTTATAATTAGCAAAATAGTACAATTTTACTATTTCAGGTATCTGTACATATAGACAACTGTACAGCAACACATTATTGTACATAAAATATTTGTAAAAAGAGAAACAACTACAAAAACACATATTTACACATAAACAAATATACATATATAGACAAGAAAAACATTTGTACACGTACAATTATACGTATATATAGACCGTTGTACGGATGATTTTCCGTACAGCGACACACAACTGTACATAAGGATAGCTGGACGTATCAAAATTTGTTTGAAAAATATTATAAATTATTAGAATAAAATGCATATCAAATTATAGAGAAAAAATGTAGATTTTTATGTAACTGAAATTTTATTAAAAACAAATTTATTTTGATTAATATTATAGTTATTAGATTTAAAGGGTTTTTTAATAGTGTCTAAATAGTAAAAATGTATTAGTTTGCTAATTATAAATAGTAAATATACTACTTTTATAATTATGTTTCAAAAATGTATTAAAAATCCAATTAATCCAAGTTTTTAATACCACTCAAAAAACGAACAGCTGTTTATCTTCCAACAAAGCTTCTTCGTGCATCTTCTTCGCTCTTCTCAACTCAATCCTCTCCCTCTGATTCACTTCGCCCGCCTCGCCGTGGAAAATTGAGACCAAGTAAACAAAATAAGACAAGCTCCAAAAAAAAACCAGCAGCTATGGCGTTTCTTCTCCCCAATCTCTCTCCTTCGTTCCTTCTTCAGACCGGGAAATCACTCAAAGACAAACCTATTTCCAACCAAGCTTTATCATCATCGTCATCGTCTTCTTCCAATTGCTACGAGTTCGAAGAAGATACTCTCTCCCCACTTTCTCTCTCTAGTGTCCAGGCTCCTCCACCTGTTCGAGGTGCGCAGGTCAAGACCAAACCGAGTGCGCAGGACAAGTACCAGCACGGCAAAGATGACTTCTATATCAATCTCGGTTTAGCTGTACGTACCCTTCGTGAAGATTTGCCTCTGCTCTTCACCAAAGATCTCAATTACGACATTTACAGGTGTGTGTTTTAAGGAAGGAATCACCTAGAATTTAGTCATCCGAATAAATTAAACCAGATTCTGTGTTCGCTTTCAGGGATGATATAGCATTTGTGGATCCAATGAACACATTCTCTGGGATTGACAACTACAAATTGATCTTCTGGGCACTCAGATTTCATGGGAAGATTCTCTTCAGGGATATCTCACTTGAGATCTTCAGGGTTTGGCAACCATCAGAAAACATGATTCTCATCAGGTGGAATCTTAAAGGTGTACCTAGAGTTCCATGGGAGGCAAAGGGGGAGTTTCAGGGCACTTCTCGCTATAAACTTGATCGAAATGGCAAAATCTATGAGCATAAAGTCGATAACTTGGCCTTCAACTTCCCTCACCAGCTCAAACCGGCCACTTCTGTATTGGATTTGGTCACTGCTTGCCCTGCAAGTCCCAATCCAACTTTCATGTTCAGCGCCGTGGATTCTTACTCATCTTCTTGGATTGAGTTCTATAAAGCAGTGCAAAGGACATTAGACAAACAAGAAGAGCAGATGCTTGTGCAAGACCATTTCGTCGCATGCTCATAGTGCCATTAGGTCACACTCAGGTGTATATATATACTGTTGCATTGAAGATATATCTATGTGTGCAGGCAAATGCATATGAGTAGATGTGGTTGACTTAGGTTTTCAGATATCAAAGGAAACCAACAACACTCATTAAGTTGTACCCATGAGCTTGTACAACTTGCCTATTGAATGTAAACAGAAATTCATTACAGTTATTTTTGTTATATAACACATTGATGTTTTGTGCTCAACATCAGTCTGGATGATATATACATGAGTTTGCCTATTGAAGGGGGAACCCAAATATCTTAAATAACATCAGTTACATGCGTTTCGATGCAGATTCGAAGTCATCCATATGAAGTTTGAAAAAACTAAACTCTTATCATGCAGTTGATTATACACACCAGCACACAGAAAAAACACACCTAAAACGTATGATAAGCTGGAATTGTACCTTTTCTCCGGAGGGGTGCAAAATAGAAATATTACTCCCTTAAGCTATTCTCCCCTGCAAGATGCAGACGAGAAACCGATAAGAATGGTGAAGATAGTAAATCGTCCTCGCATTCGCATTTTGTTAGAGTCCGTCCATATCACAATCTTGTTATTTCCTAAGCCCATTACTATGCCCACTGGATCCGATTTTAGCTTCAGCCTACTGATTTTTTTGTTGGATTTTGTTCTGTATCCAACGCAAATTACAAATCAAGCACGAATGCTCGATAAATTACAAGATTCATTCAACAGAGACATTGTATTAAATACAAAACCAGAGAGCAATCACACTTACACCAACCATTTTTCTGTATATATAACTCACAATGAACTTAATTCGAGAATTGTTATTCTGAAAAGAATATTACAAAAAGTCGGGAGCAAACTGAAACAAAGGTTCATCCCTGATCAACAAAGATCCTTTGGGAACCCAAACGTCTGAAGATTGGACCTAAAAGTTTCACGCAAATGATTAAGAAAAATACAAGTTTGTCACTTCTTAAGAAACAATCTCTGTTTTGCTCTTGCTTAAGAAAGAAAAATGGTGATGACAGATAATGTGTTAACATGCTTGTTCTGTAAAATTTCACACTTTTTTCGCAACTAGTCTCCACTGATAGTGAGAAGATCATAAAAAACACTCTGTGGGATTTCATCATAAATGCCCATTTCAGTTACTCACCTCAGAATTACTATGACTTTGATCTTAATCACTGTAGGGCGTGAGATCGATTTGGAATCGCTGTTTCCCTTTTGTAACCCTCTGCCAAAAATATGTAAAGAGTCAATATCTTGTCACTATTCATGGTGTAGAAGAAGACAGACCCTTGAAACAACAATGGGAACCAAAAAATCAATAATCTATGGACTGAAAAGGCTTACAGCAATCACGATGAGCTCTTCCAGGAGTTCTTCTAGATGACGCAAAGGCTTTGACAATAAAAACACACAAGAATGTTCACAACATTGCAAGACAGCGAAGGATACTTTGTATTCATTAACTAAGCACATAAAACTCACCCATTGAGTTGGACCATCAACTGGAGCACTTAGAGGATCATCATGAACCTGATCATTATCAAGTTGGAACAATGAATCCCGGAGTACGCAACCAATAATCCAATTAACTTGATAAAATGTTTAAAAGGATGTAGTATTGCCTTATCAAACAGGATATCCTACCTCCATGAAAATTCCATCTACACCAACTGCTACAGCTGTTCTTGCAATGCATGGTATTAACTCGCGAAGGCCTCCACTAGCAACGCCACCACCATCCAACTACACAAGAATGTATTGTTCGGGTTCAAGCTATCTGGATATTGGTGGCTTCAAAAAACTAAAGATTCTTTACAAAGGGACCATACCTTCTTGCCTGCAGGTTGTTGTAGTGAATGGGTTATATCAGCGACCTGCCAAGAATTGAAACATGTACGATAGATTGTAATTTAACAATCAAACAACACAAGTCAGAATAGGAAATATGAAAAAAGAAAAGATGAAGCAAGATACATACAACAGGACAATTAGCTTCCCTCATCCACTCAAAGTTACGTGGATCTACTATCAAATCATCTGATAATCAAACCACACCGAGTATCAGTCAGTCAATTGTAAAGGATGGCCAAAGAACTGTTTGAGCACCCATTGATGTATACTTCAGCAATCCATTTTTTATATGTTCCAAGATATTTGAATTAGATTGGAGAATGCCTATTTGTTTGTCTACTCTGGTAAATTCCATGGACACAAAGATCATCTAAAAGCCAGCTTCCGGCATTCGGTATCTGAAAAGAAGATGATAACTTACTGTATCCAAACATGGTTCCTCTTTCACAAACCATCACATTTGGATTCCCAGCCAGTCTGATCTTCTCAGCTGAATTTTCCATGACCTTAGCATACATATAATCAGCCATCAAAAGTATTCCAGCAAAAAGTATCGACCACCTTGAAAGACATAAGAAGAAAGAACTCACAGAAGGAGCACAGAATTGTCCTTTCTTAATATTGATAATTTTTCCGGTTTGTGCTGCTGCAACCAGAAGATCTGTCTGGAATTACAATCAACAGCTTAAATCATCAACCATATAACAGATATCAATCCAAGATTGAAAGTTTGAAAGCTACAAACAGAAGCCTTGAGGAAAGGAAAGTACGGTTTAGAGTCTCACCTGACGACATAAAAATGCTGGAATCTGAATTATATCTGCAACCTTGCCAACTGCTTCACACTAAGAAAATAAATAACACATCAGAAGGTACCAAAGACTTGCGAAATCTCAGTTCTTTAATGTGCTACGTTCATTTATACCTGGCTTGATTCGTGAACATCAGTTACTATTGGTAGGTCATATGCTACTTTCACCTTCTCAAGAATCTGCGTTGAAGAACCATAAATGTGACCATCAGTATTCTTGTTAAGAAATAATAGAAAACTAAAGCAATTTCACGTTCAAGTAAATGGTAGAATCATAGGCCGAAAAATAATGCAATTGCTGACATCAATATAATCCAAAGGTCCCAGAAGAACTCAAAATTGGTCCATTTAACACCGAAACACTGTGAAGGTTCTCAAATCAAACAGTCCTAACATCAAAACAATCATATATCTGGACATCCCAAGGACAAAGAAAGAGTGATCACAGGTAAACAGGGGAAGATACCTTCAGACCCTCCGCCATGCCAGGACCTCGAAATGACTTTGAAGAAGTTCTGTTAGCTTTGTCAAAACTTGACTTGAAAACAAGAGGCAACCCAACTCTACATCATTCACAAACACCCAAAAAAAAAATAACACAAAAAAAAAGTAGCATAAGGGACTTAAACGGAGCTAATGATTGCAAGAAAGACAGATAAAACCGAGTACAAGGAATCATACTTTGTGGCAATGTCTTTAATGTGCTTTGCCATTCGAAGAATATGCTCCTCGGATTCGATCACATTTGGACCAGCCAACAAAAAGAATGGTTCAGCAGCCTATCCACACAGTTGATATACACACTTTAATCAAACTAGAGTTACCATAATTAGAAGCGAATATTATACATTCTGAAAACTAAAAAAAAAAAAGGCGAAACACAAACCTTGAGTTGAGTGTACAATGGTGATGCTGCCGCCATCCTTATATCCGGAGAATTTTAAACCTTCGCGAAAATCTGAATCAGAATCCAAATATCCGAAAACCTTAACTCTTTCTATACACGGATCTGAAACGAAGCAAATCAGAGAAGGAAGGGCAAGGAATCTGACCTTTTACTTGATCTCGACGTTGCAGAGTGAGTGAAGAAGGGAAGTGAGATCTCTCATGTCGCCTTTACCGCGTGACAGTGTTTGGATACACGAACAGATTTTTTAATTCCTATCCAGAATAATAATGTACGGATTCGCTACAGATTTTCCTTCTTTTTTTTTTTCTTTGTGTCGAAGAACTTTTCCAATTTTAATCGGACAAAATAATTTCTATTTTTTACATTTCCTTTTTTTTTTGTCGAAGAATTTTTCCAGTTTTAATTGGAGAAAATAATTTCCATTATATTGTCAGACAAGTATTAACAATGAGAGAGATTCCAAACAGAACTCGACATAGAAAACGAGGGTCGTTCATAAACCCATCATGACTTTTGTCTACTCTGTTAGAACTTAGAACGCTTTCGACGACATGAGAGGTTTAGGAGGTGACATAGATCTCAGCTCAGGAGCAGAGCTTGGGAACATCACGTTCAGCTTATGCATCAATATATCAGATCGAGACGGAATCTCGTTCAGAAGAAACTGTTGCACGATCGGTTTCTTGAACCATTCCATGACCAAATCGCCTGGTGCCCTCAACACGACTTTGCTAACCTCAAAAGGCGACTCAACAGAGCTCAGCATCTGAGCAATTACAATCTTCAATGTAGGTCCTGTGACTAGCTTTATACGTCTCGGGACTACACCGTAGTAAAGCATTCGTTTTCTGAACCTGTGGAGTGTGTGCACCACGGCTATGAGTGCAGCTCCAACCGATAAGTTTCTCACATCGAGAGACCAAGCAATGTGTTGGTCAAAGACTATGGCCTTTGGGAAGAGTTTATTCTCATATGCTACTTTCCAGACACATCGAGCTCGGTTTATCTGACCCATCAAAACTAGGTAGTTGAGAAGGACATTCACAAAGTATCTAGCAGCTCCTTCTTCGAGTTCGTAATCAATCCCTTGGTAAAACTCTCTGACAAACGTGAGAACTGGTTGTTTCCTCTGTTCTGGACCTGTGAAGAGACCACACATAAAGGAATGAGCTTTGTGCTTGGTAGCGCTGAGGATTGACATCAATTGTCTCTCTTTATCTTCATCTTGGCATCTGACAAGGTGGGCGAGAATCGAAGTGTAAAGCACCAAGTCAACTTTTCCAGCAGAATGCACAAGTGTCTCAAGCAAAGGTCTAGCTGAATCGTATAGACCATTTTTCATGCATGATTCAAATAACTGCCTGATGATGAAATTGTTTGTTTTAATTCCTGATGAACCCATGAACCTAAGCCATTTCAAAGCAAGATCAACAGAAGCATCTTTGATATATATCATCAGAACATCACTAGCACAGACATCTACAGAATACCCCATTGCTTTCATCTCGAGTAGTATCTTCCCAGCAACATCAACGAGTCTTTTGTTGGCTAGAAGTGTAAGAAGGGAAATATAACTGCTTAGGCCAGGCCTTAACCCAGCATTCGTCATGGAGTTATAGATCTTCATTGCCGAATCTACTTGCCCGGATCCAGCATGCATCTCTAATAGACATGAATATGTGGATGGTGTTGGTAAAAACCCAGCTTTCTCCATGTCTTTGAAAACCGACATTGCTACTTCAAGCTTTCCTGATTTTGCATGAGATTCAATGATCATTGTGTACAATCCAAAGTTAGGCCTGAAACCTGACTTCTTCATCTCATCCCAAAGCCTAAGGGCAGTATCTAGCTTGCCGGCTTTAGCATATGAATCAATCAAGGAAACAAACATAGTTGCCGACGGCCTATGGCCAAATCCCTGCATTTCCATGTAAACCTTCATTGATGTGTCCAACCGACCAGCTTTCCCCATTGAATCAACAAGTGAAGAAAACACACTAAAGCTTGGTCTGAGTTTCCTTTCTTTCATCTGCTGAAAAAGCTTGAATGCTGCATCAAGACGGCCGGATTTGGCCAAGCTTGGAATGATCAGCTCATAAGTTGACACATCCAACAAATTATCTGTTTTCTCCATGCTCTCATAAATCTCAAATGCCTTATACGGCAGACCCTTGTTCAGAAACAACATCATTAGATTATTATATGTCTGTGTATCAATTTTACATCCCGAATCTTGAGCCTTTTTGAAACAACAAAAAGCAACCTCCAATTTCTCAGCTTTGGCTAGATACTGAATCACTTGGTTATAGGCGTTAAGCGACAAATCACAGTGACTACTCGAGTCGTGAACCATCTCCTCAAACAAGGACTGAATCCCAACAAAATCTCGGCCCTGGTTCAACCCATCAAACAACACGCCATAACATTCATCCGAAGGCAGATACCAAGGCTGCTTCTTAGCCCACCTGAACAAACTCAGGGCCGCATCAACCTCTTTAACAATCTTCAAAGACTGCGTAATATGAACCATATTCGGCACAAACTGGAGTTTATCCAGTTGGTTCTCCAACTCTGGACCCCATTTCCACCTCTGCACAACTTCAACAATCTTTGCAACGGCAGAAGCGTTCATGTAAGGCTTCTTCAACCCACCAACCATTACATGGTCATCAAGCCCTGGCTCTACTGATCTTATTCCTTTACCGCTGTGTAATACACTACCCGACTCATCTAAATACTCTACCTCCTCAGTCCAGCCGCTAGATTCACTACTACCGCCCTTTTCACTGCAGAATCTCCTGACAATACTCCGACTTTGTTTAGCCAATCCAACAAAATCAGAGTCTCTCGGTACAGAACAATCGGGACAAATACCATTTCTAGCCGCAAAATAGCTCAATAAGCGGACGTTGAAGAAGTAACTTCCGGCTAAATTAGGGTTTACTGGACTGGGAGAGAGCAAAGGAATCTCAGAGATGATACTCCTACTAAGCGTGAAAATGACATTTCTGGGAATTACTTTCGCGGTGCTCCCACGGATCATCGAAGAAAGTATTTAAAATTCGAATTGAAATTTTAGGAATCAATCCTAACCTGGTTTCTGGAAATGGCGATTTTCAGTCTCCTCGTCGGCTTAAACCCTAAAACCAGAGAGGCTTTAACAGCAGTCGGGGGTTTTCCCAAAATTGATATTACCAGATAGCCTTTTCTTTTTTTCTTTTCTTTTGTTGTCAGCACCAATTAGCCTTTTTCAATATTGAAATTTTTTTAAAAAAATCAGATTCAAATTCATGTGTGTCACTAAAAAATTTAGCTTTTTATAACCATAGAATTTTGGATCTAAATTTAATACTACTTATTGTGAAAATTTAAATATTTTTTATTGGGACAACAACATTTTATTTAGGTAGATCAAATAACCTGAAATTGGATTTAATTTTTGTAACTATAATGGTTTGAAAATTGAAGAAAATCGTTGGTTTCTTAATTGATTTATTTGTCCCAATCCTTAAAGTACAGCGAGAGAAGAATCAGAAGAGAATGTGTGAAGCTTATGCAAATGGATGCAGTCAAGAAAAAGATAAACCTAAAGAGCTTTGTTTGAGTACAAAGCAAGCAAAAGTTGTAAACAGCTTTCCTCTTTGATTATTTTACAATGCCAAGCAAGCATATATGCCTCCCATTGGCATACAGATGTGTATAATCATTGTACTATAAACATATTTTATAGACAGTTTAAAACTATATCACAATAATTTATATATGGTAGGAATTTAAACATTGTAATGTATGTAGTTAAAGAGAGCAACTAAAGTGCGAATCTTTGCGAGAAACAGAACAGAACCTTATATCCTTCCATAGGTTGCCTTGCAGGATTCTTCCAGAGTTTTGTTTTGGTTTCTCTACACATGCACATGAGACACACACACACAAGACAAGAGATATATATATATATATATAGGAAGAGAGAGAGAGAGAGGGGGAAAAGACAAATATTCAAGCTTTCTTGGTCCTGTTTCTCCTATTAACTTCTCTCGAGAGTGTGTAGCTAACTGGTTTTAGTTTTGAAGATTTAGCTTCTCTTTTGGTCTTCATCTTAAAACCATGGAACCAAATAGAGCCTTCACAACCATTTGTCTTCTCCTCCTCTGTATAATAATCTCAGCCAATTTCTTCACTCATTGCGGTAAACCCTCTCTCTAATCCATCGCTATCTCTAAAAGCATTTGATTATGATTGTGATTTTCTTATGTTGTACTAGTAGATGCAAGAAAACAAGTGGGATTTAAGAGAGAGCCAGAGAAGGTGATGATCAAAGCAGTAAAGCACACATCATTGTTAGAGAAAATGATGACACATCTCAACCTTGCTCAGCCTCTGGACTACTCTTCATCCTCCATCACTCAACCTTATGGAGTTAGCACAACTCTCACTCTACCTCCCTATGTTTCACTTCCTCCACTTTCAGTTCCCGGAAATGCTCCTCCTTTTTGCGTTAATCCCCCAAATACACCTCCGTCCTCCTCTTCTCCACCGACCACATTACCTAACCCACCCGACTCCTCCTCTAACCCGAACTCCATCCCCAACCCACCCGAATCATCCTCTAACCCAAACCCACCCGAATCATCCTCTAACCCGAACCCTCCAGATTCTTCCTCTAACCCGAACCCACCTGTTACCGTCCCTAACCCACCAGAGTCATCCTCTAATCCAGACCCACCCGTTACCGTCCCAAACCCGCCTGAATCATCCATCCCAAACCCTCCCGAATCTGGTTATACACCAGGCCCACCAGGTTCTGTTTCAGGCCCACCATACTCTGAGCCGAGCCCTTCGACCCCGACCGACACTCCTACCCCATCAGGCGGTATCCCAACTCCTACCGGATCAATCCCAAGTCCGTCGTCGGGGTTTCTTCCTCCGATCGTGTATCCGCCGCCAATGGCGCCACCGTCACCGAGCGTGAATCCGACCTCGGCTTACTGGTGCGTGGCAAAGCCATCGGTCCCTGACCCAATTATCCAAGAAGCCATGAACTTTGCATGTGGGTCTGGAGCTGACTGTCATTCAATTCAGCCCAATGGGCCTTGCTTCAAGCCTAATACATTATGGGCCCATGCTTCGTTCGCCTTTAATAGCTATTGGCAACGGACCAAAGGTACCGGTGGCTCGTGCACGTTCGGCGGCACCGGCATGCTTGTCACCATTGACCCAAGTAAGACAATTACATTTACATACGACTTGAGTAATTTACTCCCTTTGATTCTTATACAAAAATTTTGATATTCGTTTTTTTTAATTTTTAACAGGCTTTAACGGGTGCCATTTTGATTTCTTCTGAGTTCTGATGCATGAAGAAGATGAAGACATGTCTCACTTTTCATTTTTTCACCTTTTGTTGGATACGAATAATATCAAAAGTAAAATTTTGATATAATACATTTTAGGTGGGTCTTCTCACCCATTAAATCTTTAATACAAAGTTCATTGTGAATGAGATATAACTATGTAGACTTAAATTATTATGCTAAATTCGTATATTGCTTTAACTAATGGAATTAGGTCCTATAGACTTGTTGTAGTACGTACGTTGCATCTACTAAACTACTATCACTAAAATTCCTTTATTTATACACACATTCCTTTTTCCCCCACAATGATATTGTAGCTTTGAAATAAAGTACATATATATACGCATTCCCATTACGACAACTTTTTACTTAATAGTAATAATAATGTCAAGCACGTGAATTTGTCACACACTGCTTACTTTTCTTTGTTATGGTGATTGATTTAGCGTCGAACAAATCTCTTGTTGTTGTTAGTCAAAAGAATCACAACTGCAGTGATTAAGCGAATACAAAACAGTCTCAAGGTATAATTAAAATCTTTTTACTTAGAAAAGAGTATAACTTGATGTACCTTATACATTGTACATAATCTATAGAGATTATATAAAAAAACAGTGCCTACCGCGTGCATATATTTTTGTGGGGGTCAATTGAATATATTTGGTTCATGCATCACAATTGCAAATCCTGAACAAAGACTGGAACTTAAGAAAAAAAAACCGAATTTGTGAAAAAGTGGTAAACTACATAATCGGGGAAAACCAGAAAAACAAAAAAAAGAAGGAAAGATAGAAGAAACAAAACGAATCTAGCAAGAAACAAAAAGGAAAAAAAAAAATAAAAAAAATTGTATTTTTAATATTTTTTATTTATATATACATATATATATATAGAAAGAAAAAAAGGTAGAACATCTCAATCTGATTCGCACTATATAAGGAAAGGAAACTCTCTTAAATAACTTCTTCATCTCTCTCAAGTCGGACAACGCTAAAGCGACTTCAATTCAATACTTCGAATTTGTCGGCTTCCAAAAACCTATAGGCTTAAACCCTAATCAACATCACAAACCCCGGCCATGTCGAGATTCGAAGATGGATTCCACGCAGATAAGCTCTTCGCTCAGGGATTCTCTTACACTTACGACGACGTCATCTTTCTTCCTCACTACATCGATTTCTCCACCGACGCCGTCTCCCTATCCACGCGCCTTAGCCGCCGCGTGCCCCTCTCTATACCTTGCGTTTCGTCCCCGATGGATACTGTGTCGGAGTCTCACATGGCTGCTGCAATGGCTTCCCTTGGTGGGATTGGAATCGTGCACTACAACTGTGACATCGCCGCTCAGGCCTCTATTATACGCCAAGCCAAGTCCCTCATACATCCGATTGCTTCCGACGCCGGTGTGAAGTTCCCTCAGTATGAGATTACTTCGCTGGATGCTTTTGGCCCTTCTTCATTCGTTTTTGTCACGCAAACAGGTGAGATTCATATATTCCTTTCCAGGAATCTGTTACTGTTTTACGGATTTGACAAAAGATGCTGCAGAAAGAATCTTAATTTGTAGAATCAAAATCAATAGTTCCATAGATTTTTGACAACGGTGAGTTCAAGTGTTTTGTTGATTGATATAACGCAGGAGCAATGACGACTCCGAATTTGTTGGGCTATGTATCGAAATCGCAGTGGACGAAAATGAATTACGAACAAAGGGAGATGAAGATATACGATTACATGAAGAGCTGTGACAGCAGCGACTATTGTCTACCATGGGACATTGACCTTGAAAAGATTGAATGTTTATTAGAAGATAAGCAAAAGGGCTTTGTCGTTCTTCAAAGGGATGGTGAGACTGTGAACGTGGTGACCAAAGACGATATACAGAGGGTTAAAGGATACCCCAAGTCAGGGCCAGGGACCGTAGGTCCAGACGGTCAGTGGATGGTTGGTGCAGCAATTGGGACAAGGGAATCTGATAAGGAGAGGCTCGAGCATTTGGTTAATGCTGGGGTCAATGCCCTAGTGTTGGACAGTTCGCAAGGGAACTCTATCTACCAGCTTGAGATGATCAAGTATGTGAAAAAGACTTATCCTGAATTGGATGTGATTGGTGGCAATGTAGTGACAATGTACCAGGCACAGAATTTGATCCAAGCAGGAGTTGATGGATTGAGAGTTGGTATGGGATCTGGTTCGATATGTACCACACAAGAGGTTTGTGCAGTTGGCCGTGGACAGGTAAATGAAAACTCTGAATACTAACCGTTTGACTCTTCTAAAAGCTGTAAACTTTGTGTAACAGATTCGTTCCTTCTTCTTTCTTTTTTTTGTGATTTGGACCTCTTAGGCTACTGCTGTGTACAAGGTTTGTTCGATCGCTGCTCAGAGCGGGATCCCAGTTATAGCAGATGGTGGTATCTCAAATTCAGGTCACATTGTAAAGGCTCTAGTCCTCGGAGCATCAACTGTTATGATGGGAAGCTTCTTGGCCGGAAGCACTGAGGCCCCCGGGGCTTACGAATATAAGGTATATGTCACATCTTTCCCCAGTTTAACTAACACTTTTTGTGAAACGCTGTTTGTTTTGATTGTTTTTGATAATGATAGAACGGTAAGAGGATCAAGAAGTACCGTGGAATGGGGTCGCTAGAAGCAATGACGAAAGGAAGTGACCAAAGATATTTAGGAGATAAAACAAAACTCAAGATTGCTCAAGGAGTGGTTGGAGCAGTCGCAGATAAAGGCTCAGTGTTGAAGCTGATACCTTACACAATGCACGCCGTGAAACAAGGTTTCCAAGACCTTGGTGCTTCTTCCTTGCCATCTGCTCATGATCTGCTGAAATCAAACATCCTTAGGCTTGAGGTAACTAAAACTTTTTTCCTCTTAATTCCCAAAAACTCCTATAGTTTTGCTGAAATTATTTTGGTTTTGTGACAGGCTAGAACCGGTGCAGCACAGGTTGAAGGAGGAGTTCACGGGCTGGTTTCTTATGAGAAGAGATCATTTTAAGCTTTGGTCAAAATTTGAGGATTTTGTTTGAGTTTGCTCTCACTCTTCATGTTATTTTTATATGTACTTTAAAAATTAACTTTAAGTTTTTATTTATTAACTTGAGGATTTTGTTTGAGTTTGCTCTCACTCTTCATGTTATTTTTATATGTACTTTAAAAATTAACTTTAAGTTTTTATTTATTAACTTTACATTGTCTCCTAACATCTATTTTTCTTTAATCTTGTTTTATAATTTAGTGTAAAGTTATAAGATGTTAAGATGATTTGTTGAAAATCTAAAAAGAACTCAGTATAGCTACCATTTCCCCTCTTACAGTATTTATTAGTTGACCTTAGAAGAACTTACTATATGTAGTTTGCCCAAAAAAGAACAACTCACTATATATTAACGATCATAGACAGCCTTAGTATTTCTTCTTGTTCTGTAGCAAAAAATAGAAGACCAAAGTCTTATTTTTGACCTGTCAGATCAACTTAGATCATGTTAAAGATTCTTCCTGCAAGGTAACTGGCTCGTAGATCACAGATTTAACAACACTCATCAGATTATGTGATGTGAATCCATCGTCCTTCCTGTAAAATAAGTTCAATACTTTGCTCATCTTCAAGAACGCTCCTTTGCATTCCCTTGGAACCACACTTCCTTTCTCCTCCAAAACTAGCTTATGCAATTCTTTCCTCTTTCTCTCTGCTAAACCTTTCATAGATTCAATGATCTCATCTTTGCTGCGATTGTCTCTCTCATGTTTCATGTGCAATGAAACCGCATTCAGCTTCCCCTCCTTGTATTCTCTCTGCGAAAAAAACATCAAAAGGGATACATAAATCCTAAATCTATGAGCCATTATTTGGTTGGATTTAGACGTCTTTGTCATCTTTCAGCTGTAAATTGTAGTTCAAATTCTAAACATTTTAAGAAGAGTCTAACCTTAAAACCTTGTATGTCATTCAGAAGACGACCCATGGTGCTCACGAGCTTGTAGAGATGATAGTATTGGTGGCTATTAACTGTCTCCTCTGATAGTAATGGTCCGATCAGATAAGTAGCTGGGAGGATAATTGGTCCTAATGCAAATGATATGTACGCATTTTTCATGTAATCCTCCACGCTTGGTGATGACTTGTCACTAGACCACTTGGCTTCTCTCAACATAGACTTGAGCAAATCCAACCACTACATCAGATATAACACGAATTAACTGTGCTCAGATGAGGTGTTATGATATAATCACAGATAATATAATCATGTGGGGTGATTGATACTTAACAATTTTCACAATGTGGTGTGTCACAGTGCGACCTTGATAGGTGAATGCTTTGTCTCCCGTTTCAAGAATTGTATCCCTTAGAACTGAAAATATGATCTCAACATGTTCCGAGTGGTACTCAGGAACACCATTCAAATCCCACCTGAAATTTTTAAGGGAAGAAAAATTATGCTTTTACAAGGGAACAAACAGAGGAAGAGCTTTAGAGAAAGAGGCAAAATCAATATACTTTTCGACCAAGTGTATGAGGTTTTCCAGTTCTTCTTTGGACCCTCCAACATCAAAAAAGTCATCTATAACCGTTGTAAGTACTCCACCTTTGGCCCAAGATATACGGGCATCAGATAGTTCTGGAGAAAATAAGGTTGCAGCCCCAGAAAAATAACAGTAAGCCAGCTTCTGTCTGGCAAATTTCAGTTCCTGCAATCTATTCTCCACAATCCACCTGCGAGTTGGTGGGCAGAATTATAGACAAATGAATATGCTGATTTGTGACGGTATAACAAATAAAAGTAGCACCTGAAGTCATGAAGTGAACTCGTTCAAGTGTGTGGTTATATAAGTAAAACTACTAAGCTTATGAAAGAAGGATGAATGAATGAAAAAGCTTATCTTGGGTTTGCACCTATCAAGAAATTCCATTTCTTCCTGGTGTATGGACTGGCACAAATTGAAGTCATCTACAGCTAACTTCAGGATATCAGAGCTGCAAGCATTGTGCAAACTAGAACACAGAAGAAAACAAGAATGAGAGTGGATGTGCTGATCAATATCGTTTAATGGAAGCTAAGGGTACCAAAATATATGGCCAACAAAGAACACAAGCTACAAAGGAATGAACTAGACTTTTTACCAATATGAGGTTTTAGAAACTCGGGTGTTTCCGACAACACAACCATTGAGCAGTTTTCTCCTGTGATCTAATCTTTCTAGGCTTGCATACGAGGGAAAACCAAGAGCATCCTCAACCTGAAAGAAAATAAGATTCTCAGATAGCTCTTAAAGGAAGATAAATAAGCAAAAGAGATTACCTCTTTCTTGAGGTATTTATCTCGAACAGAGGTCTTAAGCCGGTTGGACAATTCCATCTCCAGATATTGTTTAGACCAAGAACACTGCTTCTTCAAAGCTGATTCATGTGGATAACTTTGGGAAGCCTTAAACAATTCTAACACAGAAAACGTATTCTTAAGATATCCTTCCAATGTATCAGAGAAACCAGATTCCTCTGCAAATGGTTTTAGCGGATCTACAACAAACACAGAGTATCAAGTTAACACGGACATGTAACTCAAATCTAGGCTATATTCATCTGAAAGAAAACAGGTCACTTCACCGTAAGAAACATCATAGCCATGAGCAAGCAATAATCGGAAAGTCAAAGCACAAGTGATCAAGTCCAAACATATTTCTTCATCTCCACGCAGCCAGTATCTGTTTATTGGTCAATGATAGTTTCCAAAAATCATGAATATATTAAATAAGACTACCGTTAAACTAAAAAAGCATCATAACAAGTTTCAATATTTGCTGAAGGCATTTACCTATAGGTTTCATCCAATAGGCTTTTGATTTCGTTTTTGAAATACCTATCAATTCCTAAGCTTTCAAGAGCGTCAATTATTCTAAGGCGTGCATATTGATCAGATGGATAAACTGTGGGAACTGAATGATAAGCAAACTTATTAGCAGTGGAACTCTTTAGATACAACGGAAATGATAGTCATGTTGATAGATATACCTGCAGCCTCGAATTTCTGAAGGAGAGAACAGAGATAACGGAGACAACCATCATTTCCAAATTGAGTAAATGCAGCTGCTGTTGTGGCTGGAGAATCAAACAGCGACCCATTTTTCCTTTGGTATTTAACGATCGAATTCCAATCTTCTAGTTTTCCTGTTCCCTCTAAAACATAGGCCAGATATGCTTCTCTTCCCTTTGAAAAACTTTCACTATCACACATCAAACATTAAATGGAAAAAAGTTGTTGAAATCAAGACTTCTGTGATATTTCAGTTTTTGTCTGAGTATGCTAAAAAGACCAGGAGTATTTACCTTCTAAGATCCAAATCTCTTTTCAGTATCATGGCATCCACCATCTCTGAGCCCAATGGAATCACCAGGTTCAAGTCTCTAGCATATTCAATCATCCCAGGGAATATAAGATCAAATCCTGCTGGTTTCTGTATGGTATCATCAGAGACTGATGCAGAGTTGAGCTCAATGAACTGGAGACCTGGATTTGACACTCATCACTTCATCAATCTTCCAAAAGTCAGATGGTAACAAAAGAGATGGAACCAAAAAAAAAGAAAAAGAAAAAACTGACCCTTGTTAATTTGTCTTTCACCAGTTCCCCACTTCTTTAACGCAAGGATACTTGCCAGCGTAGATGATAACACATCCTTCTTAAGAGATTGGTGGTCATGATTATGAAGTCCCCAGGATCCATCCTCATGTTGATTTTCCAATAACCAGTTCACACACTGTGGGAAAAGTGGAGCATAATGGGAACTCGGTGATGGAACCATTGCTACCCAACTAGTATCATAGGCTGAAACAGAGAGCTCCACGTTAACCAACATCTTCCTAATCTTTTCCTTTGCTTGCTCAAAGCTCTGGATAGTTTAAGAATATTATTAGTTGGTCTAAAACAGAATTATCCTCTTAGTCAAAACGATAATAGAAGGAAGCAAAAATCAGCTGTTAAGTTTACTTACGACATTGTTAGCTCTGGTCTGGTCTACTGCTTCCAATATCCTTTGGGAAGTAGCTGCGCACAACAAGAGAAGAGCATTGTCATTTGATTAACACCGAATACTTGAAATCTTTGACGCGAATGATATCAGGAAAGTAAGACCAGTCCAATTAGAGACTTGTAACAACGAAGATGATTTAAGATCAGTCCAAAACCCTCGCTAAAGGAAGATTATGGGAAAAAAACAATTTCAAATTTAAGTGACATATGATTCAAAGGATCTAATCAAACACATTCTATCTTTCGCGGAACAAAGGTAAAACTGCAAAGTGGTGCCAGTTCACTTCATAGCTGTATATTATCCACTCCAGGAGAAGTCACAAACGAAGACCGAAGCTCGAGTAAAAAAAATCGACGAAAATGTAAGCGAAGAAGAGTAAAGAGAGTGAGGGTACAGTAACCTGAGATCGGAGACGAACAAGCGGAGGAGCGGAGGTTGATAGACATGGAGAAATCAGAGAGCAAACGAAACGCCGTCGTAGCAACCTGGTTTCCACACAGTGAGAGGTCAGTGTCATAATCATCAACAACAACAACAACAGTGAGAGTCAATTCCCGACTACAAATAATGAAAGCGACAGAGAGAAATATACTTGCGAGGAATTAGCTTTGGCCACCGTCTCCGTATGACCCCCAAAAATATCTGCGAATCAATCAACCTTTGTAATACATTACTCGTAATAGACCAGATTATGACAAGTCATTAGTCCTAAAATACAAAGCAATCTCATTTTTTGACCAATTATTAAAAATTATACATGATAATCAAAAGTAGGAAGTAACGTCTACATGTCCATCTGTAGACATCCCACCTGTCAAGGTTGATATTGGCTCTGACAAATACTAGTTTTAAGCAAACGTTCCTGAAATATTTCTTTACTAATCCAAAAACCCAGTCACCACGAAACTACAACAACATATCAAATCGTTAAAGCTAAAACAAAATTTTCTGATTAATTTTGCAATTTCCAACTAATTCATTTACATTGTATTGTTCTAAACACCATTTAATGACAAGAAGAAAAACGTTTGTTTTCAACAATATCAAAGATGAACGGACTATATTATATATACGCCGTTTGATTGCATCAAAGTACTCTCTCCTATTGTAAACCTCCAGCACTTCTGTTCCACGAAAGATACGAGGGATCTCCGAGTTGCCTGAAAGTGAAACCCAATTTCATGAATTCCAAAAACTGAATAGCCCCAACGTAATACAAGACCTTGAGAAAGAGTAGCATCATGCTAACGTACCTTGGCTTAACTAGATACAATACGGCGAATGTAACAGCCAAGAACAAGCAAATGCTGCCTACTGTCAGATAAGCTATCCCAAGGAAATCGTTCCTTCCACCGAGCCAGCTAGTTGTTGATAGCACTAGCTTCTTCTGCCCGTTGAAGCTGTAAGTGTTGTAGTTGTTCTCCAACAATACTGCTATCTTATCACCCGCGTTTAGGTCCGTCTCAATCTTTCCATACAGCTTCCTAAATGTTGGCAAAGCTGCCGTTCTCATCCAGACTATGAGGTCTTCTTGCTCACTCAACTATATATCCAACAGAATAACTCTTCTTATAACACTTGTTAACATCCAATTTCACAAATCTAAACTGATTGATATATATATATTGGAGGCTTTTTTTACCGATTTATTCTTATCAAGAGTTCCACCGCCTATAGGTGCTCTTTCCTGAAAATGTTTAGGGAAGACATTTTTCCCAAACTTGTTTTCTCTGTCACTCTTCCATGATATGCCCTTCTTATTCACAGGAAGTTGTTGGCTGTTTCTTGAAAAGCTATAAGTATCGTTGAACAAACTCCAAGCAACAAGACCACATGGAACTATTGGTTCTCCACCCACATTATCTTCAGGTGCACAGGTCTTCACGTCATTCTCTTCTCTTGGGCTTCTTAGTTGTCCATCGTTTCGACTTTTCACATACCTAAACTCATATTCAACCAGAGAAGTAACTAATACTATCACTTGAGGTGAAAGTAAGACAAATTACTATTACTTGGAAGAGAGTTACCAGATTAAATGCAGGTAAATTAAGCAAAAAAGGCAAAGTACCGTCTATGGTTTTGGTAGAAATTCTCAAGTTGGTAGTATACATAGACAGGATGCTTCATTTGTTTTGTCACCTAAAAAAAAGAAAAGGCTTTAGCAAGAGCCATACGTAGATGGAACTAAATTGCCGTAGAAGAAGATATCTACCGTTATTGTTCTGTTACATCTCTTCTCTCCTTCACCCTGTATGTAAGCAACCATGTTGTTTCTAGACGATGCCGGAACGCAGTCTGTGTCATATCGATCAACAATCTCGACGACCTTCATGTATCAATAAAACATAGCCTCAATAAACCGCAAAAAAACTCGAAGCTGGGAAAATAAACATTAGAAAGAAAAAAAACAGAGAACATTGGGATGATGCACATACTCCTCGAGAAGCAAATAAGCAGAGGACTCCAAGGGGGATGAAGACAACCCCAGCGACTAGAAATGTCAGGATTACCTGAAAATGGCGATGAACAGAAAAAATTAAAGCATCCTTTTCGAATTTGGTAAAATTGCACAGGTGCCTCAAAGAAAGTAAGAATGTAACATAACCGTGATGGAACTTACCCATCTTGGAGTAAGAATTGGCTTGCACGCTGAAAGCTCCTGCTGAGTAAACTTAGAATCTGGTAAAGCAAATTTAGACAAAAGTTTCTTAAGAACAGAGAACCGAAAGCCACTATATATACGATTTGGCTTATATATAGGAGAATGATGGTAAATGTTTTCGAGCAAAATTAAAATTCCAACCAATGTCACATCAAAAATCAAACAACAACCACCTAGCTAGGTGATGAACATGACCTTATCAAAGTTTCATATGATCCAGAACGACTTAAACCCAGAATATACAAGAATACGTAGCGTATGCATACTACAGATCAAGAGGTACAAAAATCAAAAGATATGTACGACGTCCATGTTACGAAACATGCAAAAACATGGTGATCCAGGTATAACAACACCACTAGCGAAGAATCAAGTTTCTATATATCTAAATATGCACATAATCGTTCTGGGGAGAAAAAAACCAAAGGGTGATCAATTCATCGATCGGCATTTCAAGAAAGAAAGAAAAACAAAGACGACAATTTCTACGGAGGCACAAACATAAGTAAGACCAAATCAGAGAAATTGGAGAGATTAAGATAGAAAGATCACATTTTGGTCGCTTAGATGATCTCCTCCCGCCGGAAGAAGGCTCAGACGATCCGCCTCCTCCGACGGTGGAAGATGCCGCCGTGGAACTCATTACCTGAAGAAATCGACGGGAAACAAAACAGATCTTACTCGAGAGAACAGAGGGGAAGAATGTTAGGTTTGGGCTACTAGGTTTGGTGAGAGAGAGAGATAGAACAACATCTATCTACTTCGGGGGAGATGGATTTAGATCTTTTAGATGAATAAGCAAAACTCCCAGAAAGGAAAATAAAAATAAAAACGAGGACGTGACAAATGCTGCTGTTAACATGGGAGGGAAAGATCTCTTTATTATTAAAATAAAATAAAAATAAGCCAATTTTAATGTTTGCCTTCACATAAAACGACACTTTGGATTTGGGTAAAGGAAAAAAAAAAAACGGAAGTTTTCAAACATACACGTCATTAATAAATAATCCAACTCGAATCCGGGTCAAAATAACCCACCTGTCAGTTTTGACGTCCCATTTTTTTATATAATTTTAACTCTTTTCTAATCACACTCTCTCAGGCCCCCGGAGAAGATATTTATTTTGCTCATATCTTCGCAACATTTTGATTTCGTTGTTGCTGAGCTTCACCAGGAGCTTCTGATCTCACACACTCGATTGAACGGAACCAGTCGTGGTGATGGTAATCGGAGCAGCAGCGCGTGTAGCCATCGGTGGTTGTCGAAAGCTTGTCTCGTCACATACTTCCCTCCTCCTTGTTTCTTCTCAGTGTCGCCAGGTAAATGAAATCTTCTCTCAATCGTTTCTTTTTATTTTTATTTTTTATTATACATATTCATTACTCGTGGATTCGTTTGCTGAAAAATATGGAGTGGTTCCTTCCGATTGATGATAGATGTTTCAATAGTTTTTCTAGTAAATTCGGGTTCCCTCCGGTACGGATGTGTTATCCAAGATAAACTGTAAATCCTTAATGATATTCGTCGATTGAATTGATTATCAGATGAGTATGGACGCACAAAGCGTTTCTGAGAAGCTCAGGAGTTGTGGTCTGTTACGAACGCAAGGTCTAATAGGAGGCAAGTGGATTGACTCCTATGACAAGAAGACAATCAAGGTCATTTCATCTCTCCCTCTTACTCACTCTCTCTTGATTTCTTTGTATCTTTTGGGATTGTTATTTTGTAATTTGTATTGCTTTCTGTCGACATCTTACCTTCTTCTTTACAGGTTAACAATCCAGCTACCGGTGAAACTGTAGCTGATGTTGCATGTATGGGAACAAATGAGACTAATGACGCTATTGCTTCTTCTTACGAAGCATTTCCATGTATGTGACCCAAGGCTTCTCTTCTTTATTACTTGAGCTTCTTAATAATACCTATAACTGTTCTCTCTCTCATTTATTTTCTCTAACGCTCTTACATGTTATCTCATTCAGCTTGGAGCAAATTGACTGCTGGAGAGAGGAGTAAAGTTTTACGCAAATGGTACAAACTTTTATTCCGTAGCTATGCATTATCTTTTACTTTTTCTAGTGTAAATGGAACTTGAGTAGGATTATAAGGTCAGTCTTAGACTCGAAGATCATAATGCGGGAATGCTTTCCATGGATGTCAAATGCTCATGAAATTAGAATTTAGTTTCAAGGATTTTGGAAACAAATGACTGCTCCCTATTTAAAGATATGGGATCTTGCGTGAATTTACTGGAACCGAAATTTCTGATCCCATTTGTTTCTCCAAACACAGGTATGACCTCCTGATTGCGCACAAGGAAGAACTTGGACAACTTATAACTTTGGAGCAAGGAAAACCACTAAAGGAGGCCATAGGAGAGGTAGATTATTCAATTCATAGTTGAGAACATTGAGTGTGCTGTTTGGGCTTGTCTCAAGGTTTGCAATCGTTTCTCAAAAGCAATATATGATTTTCTGTAATTTAGTTTACAGGTCGCATATGGGGCAAGTTTTATTGAGTACTATGCTGAGGAGGCAAAACGTATATACGGTGATATCATTCCTCCTAATTTGTCTGATCGCCGGTTGTTAGTTCTAAAACAGGTTTGCCGATTCTTGCTTCTAAATTCTATACTATGCAGCTTTTATTTGTGAGTGACATACACCTTAGGTTAACTTGGAGTTGCATAGTTAGAAATTTGATAGTTAAATAATTGGAAATCTGTGTTTTTGCTCTGCATTTCCACCACCTTCACATTTTTTTTGAAATTTTCAAAGTTCTGTAGCATTGCTATATGAGAACTTGGAGAACCTTAATCTTGTTTTGCGAATTCTCTTTCATATGTGGAGACACCTAGTATACTCTTTTTCTGCGTCATGTGGCTAAATTTATAATATCACATGTTTCCTCGACACCTGAAATGCTTTAATTTCTTGATTATCTATGCAGCCTATTGGTGTTGTTGGCGCAATTACCCCTTGGAACTTTCCCTTAGCCATGATTACTCGGAAGGTCTTGCTTGCTTTACCATTTTAAGCTACCTTATTGTTTTCTGTAAATAATCTATCTAATATACTATCCCAGTAGATTATGTAGATTTTTTTTCATAAGTTCTATGTGGATGGATGATGGTATTGCAGGTGGGCCCTGCTCTTGCTTCTGGATGCACGGTGGTTGTTAAACCATCTGAACTTACGCCCCTAACAGCACTTGCTGCGGCTGAACTTGCACTTCAAGCTGGAGTTCCTCCGGTAATTTATATGATTTTAAACTTGAACAGTATAATCAACCAGCGCCTTGGGTCTCGTCAAGTTTGATTTCCCTCTGTCAGGGGCTGGCCTGATAATTTGTAAAGTTTGGACATGTTGTCTTCCGTTTTAATATCTAGCGAGATTTGAGATTTGACCTAGCTTTGTATTTCTGTCAATGCGGCTCCTAATCTGATTAACAATGATTCTTTTGTGTTAATGAACTGTCTGGCCAGACCATCTCTTTGGAATTTTGCTTCTTTTTTTTTTCTTTTTTTTTTTTTCTGTAACATTTCATGATTCATTTGAATGGTTTTGCCAACAGGGTGCACTTAATGTAGTCATGGGAAATGCTCCTGAAATTGGGGATGCTTTACTTACAAGTCCACAGGTATCTCTAATTATCTTTTGTACTTACTGTTATTTGTATCTTTGCCATTAGTAGTGATTCATGGTAAGTAACCTTATCAGTTGACTGTTTTGTTTCTCGTGCTACATAGGTGAGGAAAATCACATTCACAGGATCAACTGCTGTTGGAAAGAAGTTGATGGCGGCTGCTGCACCTACTGTCAAGAAGGTCTGCTTTAGCAACGAAATCATGCTATTTAAAATAATATTCTCCAGATCAAATATCAATTAGTACCTCTTCCTATTTTGCTGTGTAGGTTTCTTTAGAACTCGGCGGCAACGCACCCTCCATAGTATTTGATGATGCAGACCTGGATGTAGCAATAAAAGGAACTGTAAGTGGTCATGTGTGTTAAGGCATTGCTTTTCTCCAAAAGATGCAAAAACGTTGATCCATCTGGAGAAATTACTCAGAAGTGACAATATCCCGGTTCTTTTCTATATGAGATGTGTCTTACTATTTATCTGGCTAATTACGTTCAGGCTCCACCTTTCTGAGCTATATGGGGATTGCTAATACCATAAAACGTTATTTACCCATTTGATCTGTGATTGCAGCTTGCAGCGAAATTTAGGAATAGTGGTCAGACATGTGTTTGTGCAAACAGAGTACTTGTGCAAGATGGTAAGAATTGGAATACTCACGCACACCTCCTGGATCTTGCATCCAATATTAACATTATATTTTATATCTTTTCAACAGGTATTTATGATAAATTTGCTGAGGCATTTTCTGAAGCTGTTCAAAAATTAGAAGTAGGAGATGGCTTTAAGGAGGGGACAACTCAGGTAAGTCCTTTCTCGATCATAAGTGTCTGAGAATTTAGGATATTTGCTATCAAATCGAGTAATCAGATATACTATTGGTACCCCGTTTCTGCATTCTGTCAACTAGCATCCCAAGTGATTTCATTTTAAGGTTAACTAAGTCTCTTGTGTGCCGTGCTATTTTGCTGTAAATTGATTTGTCGCTTCAACATTCTTACAGGGTCCACTTATAAACGATGCAGCAGTGCAAAAGGTACACTGATAGTACTTTCCAGTTTCTTTATTTTTTTCCACGCACAACAGTTATGTTTGATGGCACTAATGTTAATGGTCTTACTTGCTCTTCATGCTTAATAATTTCAGGTAGAGTCATTCGTAGAAGATGCTGTCTCCAAGGTTTGTATTGTATTTTCTCTTTTGCGTCCTTGCTATCCTTGATTTCTAAGGAAGGGATTTCATATTTTTTTATTTGTTTGCCATTGAGTAAGAAACAAATCTAGTAATCCCCCAATACTAACACTAGAGGAAATATCTTATTTATTGTTGTGTTCTTCTAAAGGGAGCTAAAATCATTCTTGGCGGCAAAAGGCACAGTCTAGGGATGACTTTCTATGAGCCTACTGTTATCCGTGATGTTTCGAGTAACATGCTTATGTCTAAGTAAGTACTTAAAACTTCACATGATTGTAGTGTTATAGCTTTTCGTTTCTATAAAGAATGAACTAGAAACATATACTGTTCTTCTTTGTATTTTTGTGATCAGTACTACTTTGCTTCTTCTAGGGAGGAAATTTTCGGACCCGTAGCTCCTCTTATTCGGTTCAAAACAGAGGAGGACGCTATCAGAATCGCTAACGACACAATTGCAGGTTTGTTCTCATGTAATATTAGTACCCATCTCCTTGAATATGTCCAGTCGTGGACTAACATAATAAGTGGAAATGTGTTGTGTGTGCAGGACTTGCTGCTTATATATTCACAAACAGTGTCCAAAGATCTTGGCGTGTCTTTGAAGCACTTGAGTACGGACTTGTAGGGGTGAACGAAGGACTCATATCAACAGAGGTAAGACGAGAAATGGAAAAAACCACTTTCTCCTAATAATAACCAGACATTTGCTTACATCTTTTGACTGCAGGTGGCTCCATTCGGGGGAGTAAAGCAGTCTGGTCTTGGAAGGGAAGGATCCAAGTATGGTATGGACGAATACCTTGAGGTAACTCAGAACACCCGTTTGTCTCTTATTGAGTTAGGCATCAGTGGGTGGAACTGGTCTAATATAATATTAGAAATCCCCCATGAAGACGTAATTAAAGTATGCAAGGCTATATAGCCTTATAGGTGGTTTATTTTACGTTTTCCTGTGATTGCTCCCAAACTCCAACTGTGGCACAGAGACTATTGATCGATG